TTAGCGCACTCAGTGAGAATCAAACGGTGATCTGGTGTGCGATACTCGCTTTGCTAAGAATTCCACTAGCGTCGGCGATTTTATCCCATTCAGATACAAGCCACTCGGATTTGAACACCAGTTAAAGAATGGAATCTACATTTCCGATTTCACCTGATTTACGAACTTTCTGATTAAAACAAACAAATTCAAGCATAAAAGAACAGGCTACTTAGCGAGAGTTAAGATAGCAATTCGTAATTGAAAAATTGCCGGAGCGGAGTATTTTTAATCGTTCCTTTCAAAACAGATCCAAGTAACAAGGAGAAGTTCTCTTATCAATTACACTACTTGCACCTCGAGCATCAGTTGCACAACTCATACTTAGGCAATCATTCACACAATAATCGGAATTCCATAATTCCATTAAAGTCTTAAATATTGGATCGTTAAATGGAATGGGGAAAATTTTTTTCAGTTATGCCTTTAAAATGATTTTCGATATAAAACTGTCTTGTGGCTAAGATAGTTGCGTAGTTTCCAACTCAGCGCTAATACATGAAGTCCGAACCACGATAAAAAGGCAGAATTTCGAACACCAAATTTTCTAGAACAGTCTACGCCAGTGAGCGAATTAAAGGGTTCAGTTCGACATTCTAACCACCTGAAGAAGACCGGAGCGTACAACGGCCGAAACGTTGTAATAAATAAGGTGACAAAGATGAGGACAATAGTCCAAGTAATGTAAATAGTAAAACACATTGAATATTGCCAAAACATTTTACGTTTTTAGAGAAGTCATTAATATGAGAATTGGCTGATTTATCATTATATTTATCCAATTGGATTTATTGACACTATTTACATTATTCAGACTATTGTCCTCATATTTCTTGCCATATTTATTACAACGTTTCGGTCATTGTACGCTCCGGCCTTCTTCAGGTGGTTGGAATGTCGAACTGTGCCATGCTGTGCTTTATCCACTGTACCAGATGTCATTAAGGACACATTGCACAGTGGATAAAGGCGTTGGTTAGAACCAGTGACAGGATCCAAAGAGTTGTGAGTTCAATATCTGGTTAAGGCGGTGGAGAACTTACAGAGGTGAATTAACAAGCGATAACTGATAGCTGACATCCGTTAGACATGGCACGTGGAACTAGAACAGTCTACCCCAGTGAGCGAAATAAAGGGTTCAGTTCGACATTCCAACCACCTGAAGAAGGCCGGAGCGTACAACGTCCGAAACGTTGTAATAATTATGGCGACAAAGTTGAGGAAAATATTCCGAATAATGTAAATAGTGTACCAATTTTCTAGTCACTTCACTTGAAAGATTGGCGGTACACAGTCTAGTCTCTATTAAGCCTTTCTCGCAATTAGATATAATTACTGACCTATCTGCTAGGTTGTGGCAATAGTTTCATAATTCACACCGTTTTCGACGTTCGAAACCAAGGAGAAGATTTTTTTTTAATCATTTCACCTCCAAGCAAATCGATAATGCCAGTAAAAGGACAGGTTTTATTGAGAGCGAAATTAAATGCGAAGACTTTATTAAAGCGGGATAAAAAGATAGGAATCAGGAAGACAGAAGATGGAGATTGATGTTGAATTTAAATTCTTGAAGATCGTAGGGTGACAGAAAAGCAAGCATCTCCACAGGTAAGAAAAAAAAGAAACTATCAGAAGAGAAAAGATAATTAAATAGTAAAATGATTGAACTTAGTTGCCAATCTGTTATTACGCTTAAATTAATACCTGTTGAGGTTCCAAGGAGGAGAGCTAATTAGAATAATTGCTATGAAAATATTTATAGAAAAGACAGAGGGAAAATCGCGTTACGGCGGTGGGAATGTGACTGATGTCGAGATGCCAGGTTAGGACGGATAACATTACAGAGATTTTAGGGGATATTGTCGAGAATGTCGAGATATAGAGCAGGTGCACCAGACCAGATATAGTAGAAATATACAATGCACGGACGAATGGTAGAATTATAATTATGTAATATAGATTCTGGTGAAAGCAATTGTCTGGCGCAGTGAACCAGTTTTCCTAGCAGAAGACCTGGTAATTGATTTCATATAATCACTCTATTTCATGTCAATGGAAAACGTGAGACCAAGAATGTGCAGTGGGTTGTTGTTCTGGAGATTAGCATCGGCCAAACTGAAGGCAAAATTGATGATTAATAGATAGCAGTTTTGAAGGCGTTAGAATTTACAAGCCATTTCTTGCTCCAATTAACAATGCAAGATTACTTATTTAAAAAGCTGACAAGTTCTTGACTATGTTTTGCTTTTTTCTAACATTTCTAAGGGTAGCTTACAGTGTGTAGTTTGCCTGATAGCTACGGTGGTTGCGTATTTCGCTCTGATACCATTAGTAGGGAATCGAGTCGAGCTATAACTCCAGGATTTTTGAATGCTGCTTTTCAAGGCACAAGAGCTATTCAAGGTAGAGGGTTAAAAAATGAGACTGTTTTAAGGGCGTAAAAGAAAGAAGAGCATACATAGGAAAGATAACCGTTAACCCTAGACTTGAAGAGGTTAAGATCGTAGTGATTGGGGAAGTACCTTCTCGGGAGTCTTTTCCATAAATTCAATTTTTGAAACTGAGTGAAACTCTTTCATTTAAAATGGCATGCTGACGAGTCGATTCTGGTTTACGTGGTATGGTGGATCCAAACTGTGAAAGTTTTGTTGAACAAAGGAATGCTGTTCGTCTGAAGATCTGCCATGGGAATAGCAATGTAGCTGCGATAGGCTTGAAACGTTTTGCCTATGAGATAGGTGCCGTAGGGTTGAAATAATTAATTACCCACAAGTCCGTGTAAACGCCTTTGAACTCTGTTCAGGTTGGAAAGTGAGGATTGAGAAACTCCTGCCCATGTATGGTAGCAAACTAACTCTGGTAAAGAAAAAGTATATTAGGAGTAGTTAAGTAGCCTACAGCGGACAAAAGAACAGAAAACGTTTGCAGAATCTTTAGTGATGGTGCGAATATAAGAGTTCTACTTGAGGTCTGTATTGAGCTTCTGTCACAAAAGACGTTCAAGAAAATCATTAAAATATAAATAATCACGCTTATAATGAACAGGTTGGTTTTAAAATGCCCTTCTTTCTATTTCAGTTGTTGGGAATCTGCCATGATACAGCGATAGTTACCAAGTTAGGCTATTCGACCTTCATTGTGTACTCCATTATGGTAACGTTTTACCGATTGAGGCTCAGAAACATGCCTTTTACAATTTAGAATTTTGTATCAGTTGCGATGCCGACTTGTATTTCAGTGTTTACATGACGACTAATATCCGCATCTTTGTTGTTATCACAACGTTACAAACCTTTCACCCTTTGGACTTCTAAAGGTGTTTTTCGATACGGGTAAGGTTCAGGTAGTTTCGGAAAAGTGATAAAAATTATTAGGAGGATTTGAGATAATTTAATTAATTCATCGAGTCTAGAAGAAACCTTAACAGAATGCAGAACTCACTAGACGGCCGTTTCGTCCTATACTTGGGACTCATCAGCAGTGCGCATCCACTACCGAGAATTGAAACCCGGACAATCAGGCAAACGCCATACCAACTGTACAAACGGGCCTCGGTGACGAAGAGGTAGCGAATTAGATCGATATAGCGCCGCTCGATCACGTATTCCGTAGTGGAACACACCCGACTCTGCCCCCACGAGCCACGACTACTATCACCAAGACGCTCCATCCAGAGCATTAGAAGCCGGTTCAAGCAAGGATATACAAGTCATAGAAATTATTAGGAGGATTTGAGATAATTATAATTAAGTAATTCATCGAGTCTAGAAGAAACCTCAACATAATGCAGAAAGCACTGGACGGCCGTTTCGTCCTATATTTGGCGTTTGCCTGATAACGTAACTGTCCGGGTTTCAATTAATCGGTAGGGGATGCGCACTGCTGATAGTCCCAAATATATGACGAAACGGCTATCCAATGCTTTCTGCATTCTGTTGAGGCTTCTTTAAGACTTGAAAAATTACTTAATTATATATATATATGACCTGAATACTGCATTCAAGTATAAAACAGACTGTTGACATTCTGTTTTTACCTTATTGTCACTTCTCATCTATATACACTATTCCTGATAGCGAGTACTTTTAACTATAAATACATATAAATAGAAATATTTGTGATACACCCTATATCCGTGTGTGTGTGTCACACACATATTATAATTATATATATATATATATATATATATATATATATATATATATGTGTGTGTGTGTGTGTGTGTTTGTAGGGTGTATTACAAATACTTTTTCAAATTTTGGGAGCGGGTTCCTCACACTAAATAAGGACAAAAGTCCATATGAACATATATCCGCAAATCCTTCGTTTTTTATTTTTTAAGTTTAAACTTTACGGTAGACGCTGTGAAATGTTTAATGCAAGATACAATCTAAATATACATACTACTATAGTTTGTGGTACCATAGATCCTGTCCAAGCAACGCGACTATAAACAGCAGCAAAGTTTGGATAATTCCTTTGCCTTCGTGCAGCTGTATGTAAAAATCCTATCCGCCTGCTCACGATATGAATATCCTGCCATTGTGAAACGGAACACTTTTCAGTTAACTCACTACTACACACATTAAACGATGAAAGACAGACTAGCCATAAATGTACACGAATAACAAATGTAACCTAGTCTACATGCCAACACAGCGACATCTAGAGTGAGCTTTCTATAAAATAAATAACTCAAAATCGATGGATCTGTAGAAATAAGTTTATATGGACTTTTGTCCTTGTCCAATGTGAAGGACCCGCCCCACAAAATTTGTAAAATTATTTTTATACACGCAGTATATATATATATATATATATATATATATATATATATATATATATATATATATATATATATATATATATATATATATATATATATATGTGTGTGTGTGTGTGTATATATATGATGCGTTTTGTGTGAAAGTTCCCTAAGATTTTCATAAAACTATGGCTTAAGGCCATATCACGTTTAAAAAACCGGTTCTCGTATGATCATTGAAGTTAAGCAACATTGAGCCTGGTCAATACTTAGATGGGTGACTGCTTTGGAATACCAGGTGCTGTAAGCTTGGGTGTGCGGGTGATGTCAACGGATAATGGTTCGAAATTGTTAATTAGAGAGCAGAGTTTCAACTCCCATTGGGTTCGTTATATTCACTTACGCGCAAATGCCACTGGTAATCCACCTGTTCTCGCCCCAGGTATGGGTTAATTAGTAACACTTGTACTACTAAGTTATTATTATCTAAAACAAATTTTTACAATCTAAAATATTTCCTGGTTAAATAACCCGCAAAGGGTTGATAAGCCATATAATATGAATGAATCATCAACAAACAATTTTAAAATTAAAAAAAAACAACCCAAAAACACGTCAACTGTTTTTTTTTTTTGTGGTTCTTGTTTTTAAAAGGGAGACCGTTGAGAATTTTAGCATACATCTTATATATACTTGTGTGTTCCGACCAAGAATGGGTTTAAAGTTCTGAGAATTGGTCATTAGTTAAGTTTTGAAAAGATGGTTGGGGCGAAATCTATTAAGACCCCGCCCTCGTAGAATCAATAAAATGACAGAAATCAGAATTTATAAGTGACGAAGTATGATCTCATGAGACATGAAGACGAAATTAATGCGCTGAGGACTTTCTTAATTCATATAGGAATGCCTTCGTATCAAGTTGTGACAGATGTGTGTATATCACTTCTATCTATCTCTCTGTCTTTCTCTCTCTCTCTCTCTATATATATATATATATATATATATATGTGTGTGTGTAAAGAGAGAGAAAAAGTAAATGTCTGTGTTTATGTGTGGGTGCGCTTATGTATATATGTGCGTGAGTATTTAATAGTTGGTCTTGAATTGCTTACGACATCAGGAATTTGTTTTTGTCACAGACTATTAGTTTATGACTTGTGTTTTTATTTCTCAACCCGTCTGAGGTTTGATCAATAATTGAATCCTTTTATACGATTTCAGCACACAATAGACAACGAATATCCGTTTAATACCTCTTGACACTTTCTTTTAATAAACGGATTCTATAGTCATCATTCAATCTCCTAATTCAACAGAGAACTTCCTCTTTCTTCGGTAACAGAAAAAAAAAAGTTTCTTCAGTATGAAATATGTGTGTTCAGAGATAAACGTGTCTCTTCAGAAGACATAAATCTCGCTTCGGAAAATGGTCAGAATATTGAGAATAAACGTCAAGGTGCTTCAAGCTTTTGTCATCGTTAATCACAAAATAGTAACCAGACATCATGGCAAACATATGTTTCGTCTCCAGACGAAATGTATGTTTTGCCGCGATATGTTTAGCTAAGGCCACATCACGTTGAAACTGCGGTTCCCGTACGTTCATCGATGATAGGTCAACGTCAAGTTTGGTCAGTACCTAGACGGGTGAACGTTTGGGGAATACCAAGTGCTCTGGTGGAAGACATAATGGCTCGGAATTGTTAATCAGAGAGCCGAGTTTCAATTCCGGTTGGGTTTGATATATACAATTATATCAATCGTAAATGTATGAATCCACTTCATGTCCCCCAACTATGGGTTAATTAGTAAAACTTGTATCACTAAATCATTATTATTTCCCCCGAACCAAATGCTTAAAATATAAATTTCTCTGGTTTAAATATCCTGTAAAGGTTTGTTAAGCCATAAAAATGAATCAAACAAAAAATAAATAAGCTTATCATTTAAGATATTTATTATGTTTAATTCCGCCAGAGATGGAAAGTTAAAATTATTATCTTTTTAATCAATGCTATAAATGCAGTGGATTTACATTTTTTACGGCTTAACAAAGATTTGCTGGTTATTTAAAGGCGAAAGATATTCTGGATTATAAGAATATTTTGTGAGTAAATATTGCATTAACAATGTTTTTGCAGATAACAATAATTTCTTCCAGATTCAAGTCCTACTACTTAACCCGTATCTGGAGGAAGAGATGGATTCATAACTTTTCCAAGGGTAAAGTAAGTAAAATGCTCGTAAGTGAATGTAGTAGATTAAAAAAGATTCGAACTCTGCTGCCCGATTTCTCAATCTAAGCCACAATCCATTACACAACCATGCCACCTAATAAGAACACATAAACATTAGAAAGAAAGAAGAGATGGATTCATGCCTTTCCCAAGGGTATTAGCACGTAAGTGAATGTAAAAGATTCAACTGGAATTCGAACTCGGCTCTCCGATTCCTCAATCCTAGCCACAATCCATTACTCTTCCATGCCTGCTAATAAGCACACATAATCATAAGAAAGAAAGAAGAGATGGATTCATACCTTTCCCAAGGGTATTAGCAGGTAAGTGAATGTAAAGAAAACTCGGATTCAAAACTGGAATTCGAACTCGGCGCTAATCATAAGATTCCTCAAACCTAGCCACAATCCATTACTCTTCAATGCCTCCTAATAAGCACATATAATCATAAGAAAGAAAGAAGAGATGGATTCATACCTTCCCCAAGTTTATTAGCACGTAAGGGAATGTAAAGGATTCGAGTGGAATTCGAACTCGGATCTCCGACTCCTCAATCCGAGCCACAATCCATTAATTATCCATGCCTCCTAATAAGCACACATAATCATAAGAAAGAAAGAAGAGACGGATTCATACCTTCCCCAAGTGTATTAGCACGTAAGGGAATGTAAAGGATTCGACTGGAATTCGAATTCGGCTCTCCTATTCCTCAATCCGAGCCACAATCCATTATTCTTCCATGCCTCCTAATAAGCACACATAATCATAAGAAAGAAAGAAGAGATGGATTCATACCTTCCCCAAGTGTATTAGCACGTAAGGGAATGTAAAGGATACAACTGGAATTCGAACTCGGCTCTCCGATTCCTCAATCCGAGTCACAATCCATTAATCTTCCACGCTTCAAAATAAGCACCCATAATCATAAGAAAGAAAGAAGACATGGATACATACCTTTCCCAAGGGTATTAGCACGTAAGTGAATGCAATGGATTCGACTGGAATTCGAACTCCTCTCTCCGATTCCCCAATCCGAGCCTCAATCCATTATTCTACCACGCCTCCAAATAAGCACACATAATCATAAGAAAGAATGAAGAGATAGATTCATACCTTTCCCAAGGGTATTAGCACGTAAGTGAATGTCATGGATTCGTGTGGAATTCGAACTCGGCTCTCCGATTCCTCAATCCGAGCCACAATCCATTACTCTTCCACGCCGCCTAATAAGCACACATAATCATAAGAAAGAAAGAAGAGATGGATTCATACCTTCCCCAAGTTTATTAGCACGTAAGTGAATGTAAAGGATTCGACTGGAATTCGAACTCGGCTCTCCGATTCCTCAATCCGAGCCACAATCCATTACTCTTCCACGCCTCCTAATAAGCACACATAATCATAAGAAAGAAAGAAGAGATGGATTCATACCTTCCCCAAGTTTATTAGCACGTAAGGGAATGTAAAGGATTCGACTAGAATTCGAACTCGGCTATCCGATTCCTCAATACGAGCCACAATCCATTAATCTTCCACGCCTCCTAATAAGCACATATAATCATAAGAAAGAAAGAAGAGAAGGATTCATACCTTTCCCAAGGGTATTAGCACGTAAGTGAATGTAATGGATTCGACTGGAATTCGAACTCGGCTCTCCGATTCCCCAATCCGAGCCACAATCCATTATTCTTCCATGCCTCCTAATAAGAACACATAAACTTTAGAAAGAAAGAAGAGATGGATTCATGCCTTTCCCAAGGGTATTAGCACGTAAGAGAATGTAAAAGATTCAAATGGAATTCGAATTCGGCACTCCGATTCCTCAATCCGAGCCACAATCCATTAATCATGCACGCCTCCTAATAAGCACACATAATCATAAGAAAGAAAGAAGAGATGGATTCATACCTTCCCCAAGTGTATTAGCACGTAAGGGAATGTAAAGGATTCGACTGGAATTCGAACTCGGCTCTCCGATTCCTCAATCCGAGCCACAATCCATTAATCTTCCATGCCTACTAATAAGCACACATAATCATAAGAAAGAAGAGATGGATTCATACCTTCCCCAAGTGTATTAGCACGTCAGGGAATGTAAAGGATTTGACTGGAATTCGAACTCGGCTCTCCGATTCCTCAATCCGAGCAACAATCCATTAATCTTCCATGCCTTCTAATAAGCACACATAATCATAAGAAAGAAGAGTTGGATTCATACCTTTCCCAAGGGTATTAGCACGTAAGTGAATGTAATGGATTCGACTGGAATTCGAACTCGGCTCTTCGGTTCCTCAATCCGAGCCACAATGCATTACTCTTCCACGCCTCCTAATAAGCACACATAATCATAAGAAAGAAAGAAGAGATGGATTCATAACTTCCCCAAGTGTATTAGCACGTAAAGGAATGTAAAGGATTCAACTGGAATTCGAACTTGGATCTCCGATTCCTCAATCCGAGCCACAATCCATTAACCTTCCATGCCTCCTAATAATCACACATAATCATAAGAAAGAAGAGATGGATTCATACCTTCCCCAAGTGTATTAGCACGTAAGTGAATGTAAAGGATTCGAGTGGAATTCGAACTCGGCTCTCCGATTCCTCAATCCGAGCCAAAATCCATTAATCTTCCACGCCTCCTAATAAGCACACATAATCACAAGAAAGAAAGAAGAGATGGATTCATACCTTCCCCAAGGGTATTATCACGTAAGAGAATGTAAAGGATTCGAGTGGAATTCGAACTCGGCTCTCCGATTCCCCAATCCGAGCAACAATCCATTATTCTTCCATGCCTCCTAATAAGCACACATAATCATAAGAAGAAAGAAAGAAGAGATGGATTCATGCCTTTCCCAAGGGTATTAGCACGTAAGTGAATGTAAAGGATTCAAATGGAATTCGAATTCGGCACTCTGATTCCTCAATCCGAGCCACAATCCATTAATCTTCCACGCCTCCTAATAAGCACACATAATCATAAGAAAGAAAGAAGAGATGGATTCATACCTTCCCCAAGTGTATTAGCACGTAAGGGAATGTAAAGGATTCGACTGGAATTCGAACTC